CTATTAAATATTTATAAAGAAAATATAAAATAGTTATAAAACACTGTTTAACACAATTAAAAAATGGCACTGGAGGAGCATTTTGCAACTAATTAGGTTAATTTGTTATGGTTTTTCTGGGTTCTTGTGTTATTTTAGTTCTAGTCTGGTTTTCTGTCTTGTCCCTCTCTGTTTACCCCCTCCTGCCTGTCTTTGCTCCAGCCCCGCCCACTCTCACCTGTTCCTCATGTTTCTCTCCCAGGTGTTTCTTGTTTCTGCTCGTTAGTTCTCCTTTATATTCTCTTCTCTGTCTTCAGTCTTCGTCAGGTCTTTGTTTCTGTTTGGTGTTCATGATCTTGTCAAAGCTCATGCTCAAGATTTTGTTCATTTTTTGCTGTCACGTCAGCTATTTGTTTTCTTTAAAAAATATTTTTTGCTTAAACTTACCAAGTCTTGCATTCTGGGGTTCTACCAACCAAGTAATTCATAACATAATTGGCAGCAAGTCGGTAAGAGGACTGGATATAAAAAAGTTGTTTTAAAGAAGCTGAATTGTTTTAGAAGTAAAGACACAGAGGCTCTACCAGACCAGACGTTTTTTTTATACAGACTGAGACAGTCATTTTTTATGGCATTTGCCCCAACCAACTCTCTGCATATGTTGGATGATTTCTAACAAAATGTAAACCACTTGCACACCACTGCACCCTGTACTCACTGGTAAACTGGCCATCATTATCTACACGCAGACATTGGTATAATTTTATATACAAATCCATCCTCAGGCTGCTGCCTCCCTACCTACATTCTAAGATATCACAAAGATAGTACAGTCAGCCTACGCTCTTAGGATTTTATTTCCTTGAGTGTTCCATCAGTTCGCACAGAACTTGGAAAAAGACCCTTCTCCTATTCTGAACAATCTTCCTGGAATTCGCTGCTGCAAGACCTGAAACTGTCCAGTTGGATCCCACTGGGTCATTTTAAACACATCTTAAAGGGAAATGGAAAAAAACATCTTTTGCATCACGCTCRTGCTTTTAGGTTGTGTGTTTAACTCTGCTTTCCGCAAATTGTAACTTGACGTTCATGATCTTTGTGTAACTGATACTGTATGTGTCACAGACATAAATGAGACTACACATCTCAATGAGATTACCTGCCTAAATAAATATTTTTAATTGCAAATTTCTCTTGAAAACATAACTTTTTCAAACAGGTTGTGCACAATAACAGCTGTCGAGACCGTGCAGACACAGGCATCTCTTCAGGAGTGTGTACACTGTGGCTGGGTAGCTTAGGGATGTTGTTATTGTGTACAAACTCCTGAAGAGATGCCTGTGTCTCCACGCTGTCTCCTCCGTGCACAATATTTGTACCGTTTCTTCCATGAGTTCCTCTCCATTTGACTACCTTCAGAAAATTTGCTGGAACAGTTGTGAATTCAATTCCGTTCGATTCAGTTTATTTAAATAGCACCAAGTCACAACAAACGTCATCTCAAGACACTGTACAAAAAAAAAAAAAAAACATCAATCTAAGGAAGCCAGCAGATTGTGTTGAATCACTTCATACAGACTCCCATCCTGAGCAGCACGTTGGTGACAGTGGAAAGGAAAAAACTCCCTTTTAACAGGAAGAAGTCTCCAGCAGAACCAGAACTGGGCTCAGAAGGCGGTCAGCACTTCGACCCAAGTAGAGGTCTCTGCAGTACATGGGGGAGTTTCTTGTTCTATGGGTGTAGTATGTCCTAATGTGGCAAGCACATCCCTGTCTCATTTTATATGTAATTTTAAAAAACAGGGACCTTTTTTCAGGTGGGTTGGAGTTGTTTTGACCAAACCGAATTGTTACACATTCCTCCATATGTGTGGTGTTCGATTTTTGTTTGGCTAGCATGTTCTTGTCTTGAGTAATGACTAAAATGAATATTTATAATTAAAAATATAGATGCCTCCCAGCCGTTTCGACCGAGCTGTTCCCAACTTCTTCAAACCCCTGGACCGGTTGGGTTTGCGGGGACGGGAAAGAGACATAAACACAGGAGGACTGGTCCAGGTGCATTTTCCTCTGGAAGAGAGACAAAGAAAACACATTATTGATAGAAATAATTACAACAAACGTAGAGGAGACAGACAGCAGCAGAGTGAGGAAATTTGGACTGTTTAGGCCTGTAGCTGCAGAACCAAGGTCTTATTCACACCTGACAGTCCGGTAGACTCGGTTCGATTGGGGACCAAAACTGCAAGCTTTGTTTACATTTTCTGTTGGTGTGGTTTGAATTCACACTGCACTTTCTCAACCGAACTAAACCCTGTAAACAACCTGTTCCCGCCCTCACCTGTTGGCGCTGCACAAAGAACCACCAAAGTAATCAACTTGTAAACCTCAGAAGAAGACATGGAGCAACTTCCTTCTTCACAAAAAGTAAACAAACAATAGTAACGTTACATTTTAGCGATTATAGGGTTTGTTTTTTGTTTTTGGCGAATGTGCTAAACAAGTATTCTTTAACGAGCTCAGCATGAGAGGAAGATGAGGCGGAACCACGGAGAATGTTGTTTTGCACACAAGTCGGCTGAGGAAGCTCCGTGTTAATCCAGTAGGAGCTCGTCCAGCTCCACAGTCATGATGTCCACCTTATACAGTCGTCCAGCGAGGTATTTACACCATATAAGTAGATTTATTACTGTTATTACTCAGAATGTCATGYGGTATAGTCCGCTTCCTGCTTTTGGAGCGGTCTCTGGTCCGCTTGGCGTTCACACATGCAATCGAACCGCACCAGTTTGTTTCAATCGAACCAAGACCAAGGTTTTCAGGCGGACCAGAGTTCGATTTTTTTGGTCCGAATCAGAGTTTGATTACATGTTCACACCTCCACAAACGAACCGGACTTTCCAGGCAAACAAACTAGAATTTGATTAAATCGGACTAAACAATGCAGGTGTGAAYACGACCTAGAAATACTTCAGGAAACCAACCTGAACTACAGAATTTATCAGAAGGAAAGTTCGAGGACAGAGCTGATCCTCACTGGAAAAGTTAAGTCGAACTAACACCATTGCAATTCACCTGCTTTCCAGCAAATACTCACTCACCAAAAAAAGAAAAATATAAGTTCTGACCAGCTACATAAAATTTGACACATAACACCTAGAAGAAGTTGTGCCTGGACTGTCAGGAACAGACTCTTTAAGTTCATGTGAGAACAAAATGATGTGATTTTTATCAGTGTCAGCTTCACGGACACAAACTAGAAGTTAGTTCCACAAGAGAGGAGCGTAAGAACTGAAAACTCTGCCTCCTAATCCACTTTTAGAGACTCGAGGAACCACAAGTAAACCTGCGGTCTGAAAACAAAGGGAAATACAGAACAATAGGATCATTATGGAGCACTTGGAGAGTAATCAAAGGATGCATCTATAACAGATTATTACATTCGATTCAAGAGGATCATTACAGTTATTAAAAAATAGCCAACAAAAATGGCTCTAAGTGCTAAAGTTTGGTGTGATAGTAGCTGAGAGTCAAACTCATGAGATTACATATTCGGCTAGTTTCAAGGTAAGAAAACACATAAGAGTAATCAGAGGTTCTTTTGTTTAATCTAAGAAAGGTTTTCGGTCGAGGTTGTTCATGGTGTGAAGGTGCTGCTGCTCACTGTCAGCCTCCAGCCCACCCAGTGTGCAGCTTCCTGACAAAGCCCAGCCTTTTGTTTCACACAGAAACGTTGCTTTCCTGCATCAACTTTGTTCGTGACTGAAACGGCTGCATGAGCTGAGAGATAAAATCGGAGCCACGGTACGGCTGAAGCACTGTTTGTTGGCCTGCTTCCTCCACAGATTTTTACATAAACAGGGTGGATCCCGTCCACACCGGAGAGAGCTGTCCCGTTGTGCCARCACTCGCTGATGTAAGAATACATGAGCTGGCTTTTTGCATGTGTGCAATACTTTTCTTTAAAACCTGATAGGTTTAAAAAAAAAAACGCTCTCATCACCCTGTTTCCTCTAAAAACAGCAACACATGTTCTCTGGCTAAACGAAAAACATTCACAGTGACTCAAATGAGCTTATTAAAAGCCTAAACTATGCCTCCAAGAAACAAAACACCAACATTCTTTAAGCGTAAGAGCTTGAGGAGTGACTGTATTAGGAATATGAGGCAGTTAACTTTAAGCAGGTGATGCTAATTGAGTGGTACAGCCCATCTGGAGCTGATTTTAAAGCATCGCTCAAACAATTCCTGTAAGGATTCTGGCAGAGTCGGGAGGATGCAGCAGACCACGTGTAGAAGTCTTAAGGCCTGTATTGATCAGATATTTCAGGGTAAATGAGAGAACATTTCCTCAATTATTGTCTTTTGATTGGTTTTTTATTAGTATCTTCTGATTCATGGTTTTTGTTTTACTTCCTGTGTGACATTCATTAACCTTCAGTTATTGTGTGAATTCTACATTATTGAGATAAATTATTCTTCCGGACTTTTTCAGCAACTCGTTCCACAATCTTTGTGCTTTTTCAACAATGCATGTATCAAAAATGTTCAGCTCTTCCTGAGCATTTCAGCTATGATTTTTGGTATTTTAGCAATTTATACTTTTTGAGGTGTTTAGCTTTTTTGACCATGTTTCTCTCACTGAAAATGAATGGAGCTGCAACATCTTTAAAACCCTTCAAATGTTCATAAATCTACTGTTCCTTTCACTTGTTCTTTTTAACATTTTTGTGCTAATTTCAGCTTCCTTATGCTTCAATTGAGCTGATTTTAGCTTTTTTTCTGTTTGTTTTAGCTATCATTCCTACCTTTTCTGCTATTCTTCTGCTAATTTAAACTTCTTTATGCTTCTTCCAACTTCTTTCTGCTGTTTTAGGCATTTTATGCTGTCTGCTTATTTCAGCTGTTTTCTGTGATTTTAGCTACTTTTAGAAAATTAGAGATTTTTTTCAGCAAAATTCATTTTTTGAATCATTTCAGCTTCTTTCTGCTTCTATTTTGCAGATTTTAGCTTTTTCTGCTTTTTAGCGATCATTCTGAACTTTTTCTCTTATTCTAATAATTCTAATTTTTTGTGCTTCTTTGTGTTGTTTTAGGCTTTTTATTGTTTTCTGTTTTAGCTGCTTTTAGCTAATTTAAGCTTTTTTCAGCAAAATTCACTTTTTGTGATAAATTCAACAATCATGCTCTGTTTTTTTCTGGTAATTTCAGCTATTTCAAATACGTTTAAGCTGTTTTTAGGCTAGTTACCATTTTTTGTGTTTGTGGTGTTTAATGGTGGTTGGCAAAAAAAACTGAAGGTGTGCATTACTGCCAACTACTGGTATGGAGTTTGGTTCAAGATGATTTCACTAATGTTTATATCCTACTATTATTGAATTTTTTTTACATTTTTTTTACATTTTCAAAGCTAGCTATTCGAAGAAAAAAAAATAAACAAACAAATAAATAATACAAAAAATACTACTATCAAACTCAAATTCTGTTAAACAATTTTGTCTTTTTCAAAAATCGTATCATGATTTGTTTGTTTGCTTCAGATTTACTTGTCTTAATTATAATGTTAATGTCACTTTGCCATTTTTTCTGCTTTTTTCATTTCCTCTTACCCCTAAATGTGCTGGTACCCAAAGAAAAACAACAGTTAATCCCATCCTTTGCATTCTGAATAGTGTGTGATTAATTTCTAGTAAAATCCTGCTGTCTTTGCTTTATCTCGTCACACCCACCTTCACCTGTTTGCAGTCTGTAATCAGTACAGGTGTTTCCAGTTCCTCATCAGCCAGTCCTGTTTATTCAGTCTCCTTCCTGCTCCACTTCAGCAGCACATTCCTGGTTTTCATGCCACAGTTTCAGTCCTGCCTAAGTTCCTATCTTATGCAGCATTTTTTGTTTAATAAAATGTTTTATTATTTCCACTCCTTGAGTCAGTCTGAGTTCTGCCCTCTGTGTGCATTTGCTTGGAGGCAGATTGCAGGTTATGTAMACTGTAAATTTAGACCAAAGTTTCAATTACACAACCTTTGTGTTTAAATATGTTTATGTTTGCAAACATATTGAGGTTATTGGTAATTCTGCTGCAATCAAGTGGTACGTTTAAAATACCAGTGCAGAGGTCTGGAAGCACGCTTACTATTTTTCTCAGATTTCCATCCTGGGTTTTGTCTGCTTTAAAGTTTTCTTTACAGTTTTTCCTCAGTTGCTAAAACACTACTCCCTGCTGTCTGAACCAAATGTTCAGTTCCTTGAACCAATTTATTAAAACGGCCACACTTTTGTCAGAACACTAGGCACGTTTCACCCAGTTAGACACAACATGCAGACCTATTTTCACCCACTAAAACACATTTTCCCCTTTGATTCACATGGGTTCCACAATGATTAGCACAGGTAGCTAAAATGAGACACAAATAAAGCACTGCTGTCTGAACTGAAACACAGCAACTGAAATAGATCACACATGTGTCTAATGATGTGACCAAACCAATACAAGGCAGTACAAGGAGCACTGTTCATTGAAGCTTCACTATGAAACCCTAAAACCTCAGAGCTCTGGTAGAGGACCTGTTTGAAATGAAGTGGAAGAGTAGAGAGACAAGTTTTCTATTAATTAGAGATACAATGGGCCTCATGCAAGAACATGTTCATATTCTTATCCTAAATTTCTCTTACTTTTGTTCGTACRAAGGGTTCGTACGAACATGTCACGTCAGATTCAACAAACTCTTCTATCTTCAGGAAAAGTGTGTAAATGAGCTGCGTAAATTCCACCTGTTCGTATCCAGCTGCTCGTGCACCCGAGAGGAGATTAGCATAATTACCACCCCAAAAACACCATATAAGGCTGTGTTTCCTGCCTCAGATACAAGGAAGTGTTCATTCATGAAAATGACAGCGAAAACTAAAAAGAAGAACTTTACGAGTTCAGAGATTGAAGTCCGTCTGTCAGAGATCCAGAAAAGAAAATCTGTCATTTTTAGCAGGTCAGCTGTGGAATAAAAAGAGCTGCTAAAAGTATAAACAACTGTGTTAAATCATTTTCATTTRTTCAGAWGACACACCGTCGCGCACCGTACACCCCACCCCCCCAGCGCGGTCTCAAGTGGTCTCAGTTGCGGTTCTGAAATAATCATTTTAAAATGTTTTCAAAATAAGTCTGGCACTTTGGAGAAAATTCATGACTCGCTGGAGGGATTATGTATCCCCTCTGGTCTGGGAACGTCTCGGAGTCCCCCAGGACGAGCTGGAAAGTGTCGCTGGGGAGAGCGGGGTCTCCTGCTGCTGCCCCAACGACCCGATCCCGGATAAGCGGCGGAAAATGGACTAACGGACAATTTATATTATTAGTCTGAATTATTACATTTAAAATTATAACTCTAATTCAAGCAGAATAGCCTATTGTCAACATAATTATGGAGTGTGATTTATATTCAACTCAAAATATCTTTAAACTAATGAAATATAAAGTTATTAGGGAGGAAAATCAGTCTGGATAACAGCAGACTGACTGCTCGTAAAATATACGACAGGTCTGGACCACTYGTGAATTTTGTTTGTATCTGAAGAAAATCTTAGAATACGAAAACATTGGTGAATGCCACAAATTCTCCTAAATCACTCGTACGCACAACTTAAGAACAAATCTGTGCGTACGAACGGTTCTTGCATGAGGCCCAATGTTTTACAGTTTTTCTCAGTTGCTAAAACACATTTCTTGAAACCATCCATCCATTTCCCTAAACACAAAACCCAATTTTCAAATTACTTTTCACAGAACCTCTGACTCTTCCAGCAAAACCAAACTACAGCCTCGAAATAGTTCAATTTGTGCTCAAAACCGAACAAGGTTGTCAAATCAGACCTCGAAGAAATCAAAAGAACAAACCCTACAGAGCAGTCATTACACACAACAGGGAAAAAAAAGAAAACACAATGATAAGATAATGAAGTTTTTGAAATAATTTTTACATATTTATGTTTTTATCTAAGTGTACAAATCCATTACAACAACAAAAGTGCATCTGTAAACACAGTATATAAACTGTATTTAGAGCATTTGTGTCTGTAATTTTTTTTCTATTCATAGTGAAGCTTCGATGACAGGGCTCGTTGTACTCCCAKGCTACCTGTGCTAATCAGTGTGGAACCCATGTGAATCAAAGAGCAAAATGTGATTTAGTGGGTGAAAATAGGTCTGCATGTTGTGTCTAACTGGGTTAAATGTGATTGGTGTTCTGACAAGAGTGGCCATTTTAATAAATGGGTTGAGGGAACTGTGAATTTGGTTCAAACAACTGGGTTCAGTGTTTTAGCAACTGAGAAAAACCGTATTATTTTTTACTATAAGCGTTAAACAGGTGTTTTGTGCCTTTTCCTTTGTGGACAATAAAGATTATTTCAAAAGCTTTAGGCCACGCCCACTTTATTTGTGCATAATGACCACGCAGGTTTAGGTTCAAATCAAGGGTCTGAAGGTCTGTGCAAAGTTTCATGAATTTCCCAGAAGCCAGTTTTGCATGAGATTTTTTTTTGTGTGGTTTATAGCGCCCCCTATGCCTCTGATTGTTAAATTTGGATAAGCTACGTAAAATGGACTTCTGTACTATAATAAAAGCCCGGTGCATGTAAACACTCATCATGGTTGGATTGTGCACATGTAAACGATACATTCCGATTATTAAATCCGAATACATTTCAATCTAGTCGAAGAATTTTGCGCATGTAAACATAGCTTATTTTCTTTTTTCCCCTGCTGTGTGTAACGACTGCTCTGTAGTGTTTGTTATTTTTGATTTCTTCGAAGTCTGATTTGACAACATTGGTTTTTGAGCACAGTTTGAACTATTTTGAGGCTTGAGTTTGGTTTTGCTGGAAGAGTCAGAGGTTCTGTGAACGTAGTTTGAAAATTGGGTTTTGTGTTTACGGTTTGGAGAAAYGGATGGATGGTTTCAAGAAATGTGTTTTAGCAACTGAGAAAAAAACTGTAAAACTAGAAGAGAAGCGTCTTTTAAAACGTGTTATTTCTCTTATGTGAAACACTGGAGACACATCAAAATGAACAAACATGACCAGTGGAAGAACTGAAGCTGTTTGCTTACTTTTATGTCTAATCTGTCCCTGTTATCTTACATCATACATCAACATGTATGTAAAATGTTTATTTCTAAGCCTGGATGATTACAAAGTTTTGTGTTGGCGCGCTTCAAAATGTCATCAATAATTGATGTTTTCCAACTGTAAATCAAGAATCTTTAAACGGTACAGGAAAGCAAACCTGTCCATATCTGTTAAGTGTTTTTTTTTTTTTCCTTTTTCTTTTTGTGCTAACGTGGAAGTGTAATCTTCATATCTGGGCGTGGGTTTGAAGTGTAAACAACTGAATCACAGGATCAACATTCGGCACAGCAAGTGCACTGGAGCGGGCCTGCCTGGTGATCGGGGGATGAAACGAGCACCACAGACGCTTGGAAAAGGATCTGAAGATCATAGAAAGCCCGTTCTCTCTTTCACCAGCTTCCCCCTTTTTCTCGACACTCTCTAATAATTGGAGCTGTGTCACAGATGTGCGTTTGTCCCCTTTTTTTTACCCAACTTCATGTACTGAACACAGGATATGAGGTGTCATTTGCTTTTTATTGAAGCCAAACAAGGATGAAGATTAAAGCTTTTGTGGCTCATGTGATAAAAAGCATATTTAATGACTTAATTGGACGAATCATAATATATGGGCATGAAAAATGTGACATTGAATGTTTTAGATTTAAGCCTGAAGGAAACATGATTCATGAGTCAACAAGCAATAAATYTTTCAAAGACGACTGATGAAGTGGAGAAAACTTTAGGTTGTTTGAGGCCAAAAGTACTGGCTAAAACATTGAATATCCTGTTACTCACCAATGAATCATTTTCCCCATAAACAAGCATAAAACATAAACTGGAACTCGCATGAGATCAGGTATGAAAACATTGATTCACCACCCTGTTTATCCTAAAACAATAAAAACGAGAAATTAGAATTTTCTGTGAAACCGTGGCGTAAACGCTGAAAGCTGAATGAATTTGCTGAAAGTTTATTGAAGCGGAAATTGAACCATGGAAGTTACAAGYAGAGCAGAAGCTAAAATGTGCAAAGCAGTGGCTACAAGCTAATTTTAGCGGAAACAGAGCTACAAGTGCTAAATTGCAAATCCATAGTTAAAAGATAAAAAATAAAGGTGTAGCCACAGGTTAAAATGATTAAAATCGTAGCTACAAAATTGAATTAGCAATGCCATAGCTACAAGATTAAATAAGCCTAATTGCAACTCCAAGCTAAAATGAGCAAACGTACCCAGAAGCTAATGGAAGCATAAGAAGGCACAAATAGAAAAACTACTGTATTTTGAAGTATGTTTTCTACAGATCTAAGAGTTCAAGACATTGATCAAATCTCCATGCACACTCAAAAAACAGATGTGTTGGATCAACTTAACCAAATTACGTCAACAATTTCCACTCAACTGAGTTGAGCAACTTTCATATTTTCTTTAAAGGGGCAAAATTATGTGTTTCTCAGGCATATATTTAAATACTATACCATAATAAAGTATCTATGTCACCTTTAGCTGGTATTAAAATGCTGTTTTTATGATCAAATAAGAAATAAACTTTTCTTCTCAACACTTCCTCTTCTAAACACCTTGAAATTGGCCTCTGTGTCTTTAAGAACCACCTTCCACTTCTGTCTCGTAAATTTTGGCGCTTGGGGCAGGGGGGGGGGGGGGCTGCCATGATGCAGCTCCCTTGGCATCTGAGAATATATTTCCTCAAAGGTATTTTTAATCTGAAAAGAGTGAGAACTAACATTGAGCTCAACAGACAGCTTAAGTGTCACTTTCACTTTCACCCGAGAGCCTGTAGGAGTCCATGGGCGGGTATGTGGCGAGGGGGTGGGGGTGCTCCACCTTGAGGAAGTTCGTCTTAAAGACACATCCCAAGGGTGTTCCTGGTACCAAAAGGCGTTTCTGGTCCCCACCTGTCGTTTTGCTCCTCAGCATGGTTTCCTAAAAACGCTGCAGGATTTCTCAAACATGAATGAGTCAAAGCAAGGCTTTGGACATGTCTTTTATGAGAGTATAACATTATAACATGATATAAAACTCAAAAAAGTTGATTTTACATGATATTGCCCCTTTAAAAATGAATGTGAAATTTGCTTACTCAACTGGACATTGTTGACGTAACTTGGTTAAGTAAATCCAACCCATCTGTTTTTTGAGTGTATTTCTGTGGGATTTGTTCTGTACATAAAGTTGAGCATTTTAAGAAGTATAAAAGTTACATAAAAACAGAAGTCATTCACCTCCTTAATCAGCTGGAACTGTTTGATATAAACAGCTTAAAAAAAAGTAGAGATTACATCACAGCTAAAATATTTTTTTAGTTCAGTTCTATTTGAAAAGTGGAAATTAAATGCAATTACAAAGTTAAACTGTCAGTGATGCAACGTCGACCGAACACAGGAACACGTCTGCTTTGACTCCGTCTTCAGCTGTAAACATTTCCACGCAGAGCAAACCTGCGCTGAAACAAACTGCACTTCATCACACAAAGTCCAGCGTCGTTATTGATGAGATTTCAGAAACAAGCATCCTGGATTCCTTCAAGTCTGCAGCAGAGGGGGGGGGAGGGGGGATCTGTAACCTGTAACCTGCAGCCTCCTGACCTTCAGCTCTCCCAGCTGAGCCGTGGCATTTGTCTCAATCTCAGAGCAGAGAGGTCTGCAAACCAAAGCTACTCGCCCCTTTTACAGAATGAGGCTCAGCTTTCTGTGCAAAATGCTCAACATATAGAGATGGTTTGATTCAGCTGGAGCTGGGAGGCCTGTTGTTTCACTGGTGGTGCTGGTGGGAGAGGGGGAGGGGGGGGCGGCCCTCAGGGACCACACAGCTGGTCTGCAGTAATTGCAGTGCAAAGGAGCGTGGAAAGAGAAGGACTGGTGCAGAGAGAGACTCCAACTGGTTCGAGCATTTTCAGCAACCCTGATGGATGTCACGCTGTGTTCCTGGTCCATCCCAGGTGTGGAGGTCACGTCTTGTGAAACATAAAATAGCATTTGCATCAACACTTGGAGACTCAGACTTGGAAGACCTCTTCGTTCTTTCTGTACAGTCTCATTCTTGATGTCATTTCCCCTCTGAGTTTCTCCCTCCTTCAGTCCACTCTGCCCTCTGAGCGATTAAACTGGGTTTTGTCGCCACCTACTGGTCAACTTTAGTAAGGGTCAGAGATTCATCACGTTTCTTTCAAAAATCAGTAATTATTTTTAAATCAGTATGAATTGTGAAGGGTTATTATATCATAAGAAATTAAAACTACCATTTTAATTTTTACAATTTATATAAAAAGCCATTTTTTTTTTAGATAAATCTTATAATTGAGTAAATGCAGCATTGTGAAAATGCAGTGCAGCAGAGAGAGGCGGGAACCTGTAACACTCAACTAAGTGTTGAAATTTGCCTRTGAATCTGAATTATTAAAGCTTAAAGAAGCAGAATAGCTAAAATAAGCAAACACAAGCTAAAAACATTAGTATAGGCTAACCGTGAAGACAAGATAAAGTACTTTGAGGTGCTAAAAGCAGCAAAACGGCTAGCTAAATGCTAAAAATTGCTGAAGGCAGCTAATAAGGTTGCAAAAAGCTAAAAGTGTAAGGGTAGCTAAAATAATTTCTTAAGCAAATGTAAAAGATAATGTGTTTGGAAAAAAGTGTGATTTTAAATTTTCAGCTATCAAAATATACAACAAATTTGGTTTTATTTTGAATTTCCTGGTCTTTTCCTGTTTGTTAGCTTTTTAACTTGAGGCACAAGAAACACTTCACACACAAAAACAAAAGTCGATTTTATTTACAAAAATGTCAACTTGTTCCACTCGACAATTCACTTGAGCAGAACCAGTTGAAATAGTGTTTTTTGAGTGCATGATAAAAATAAAGTGAGTATGAATAAAAAGAAAATCCAATAAAACACTCATTACTCAGACATGGTGATATCTCATCCATTTATTTCTTAAACATAAGAAAGAAGGGACTTCTCCAAGGTAAGAAAACTAAGAATTTTTAAATCAAGTGCACTTCAACAACATCTTGCTTCATCAGGGATCCGTCAACAGTTTGAAGTGAAACACACAAACACAAAAACATCAGTTGTAAGGCTTTGGGTGACAATGCTTTATTGAGATGACGAAYAGGTGTGGAGATCTGCAGCCGATCTAAGGTCACAGCGAAGACCCCCTGCAGCCCCTCCACACAGACGCGTGACGAGACGTCGACTCTGAGAAGGAGTCAGGCAGTTTGCTCATTTGTGCTAAATCGCCTGCTTTAAGCCGTTTATCAGAGCGAAGGCGAGAAGATGACGACAGATGTGGTGTCATCTGGGCCAAACAGTATTTGTGGGTAATTTCCAGCACATGTTCGAAAAGCCCTCCAGAGCACAAGAGGGTAGGGATTACTACATCGTGGACGGTTTCAAGGAGCTAAGCCAGATGAGTTTCCACACTGGATATCAACTGACCGTCATGTCGGCTTTTGGACAACAGATGGCCAAGTTTCACCGCTTGGGACCGAGAATTTGAGCGAAAATCACAGGAAATTACCCTAAAAAGTCAAATTAGGTACTTTTCTGTGATAATAAACACAACTACCTGGCTGTGTTTGACTGAGCTAATGAGTTCCAATTACAGTCTGGCCCAACGCACACTACCAATTTGTAGGTGATTCATCCAAGAGCAACACTGATAATGACGTGGCGACCTTTCACGAAATGGTTGGAGAAGTGCGTCACAAGCAAACTTTATTTCAAAAGTCCTACTGTGCAAATAAACAGAAAGAAGTCAACTTAATAGGATAAAACGTCRAAGATATTTACATCCTTGTATCAGGACAATGAACTCAAAACCACTTGGAGAAAATACAACAACAAAAACGAATTTTACATCTGCAGTTTTAACTTTTTACATTCAAACACTGTCCAGTCTTTACACTGTAATATAGGCCAGTTAAGAGATTAAAATGCAGCAGTTGCCTTGCGTTACATACTCAGCATATATACCAATATAGATTAATGGCATTTCACATTCTCTGTAATACATATTGTCATCCACAGAATAATGCTGGTTTCAGGTAAACAAACTTGTTACTTTGTGTTGATTTTTAAAGGTACTCATTGCAAATTAATTACCAAACTTTTTGAGGGACTAAGTCTTCCTGTTTACCCACAGAAACAGCTAAAGAGGCTGGAAATAAGTAAAGAGTGGTAAGAAGATATCGATATGCTGATGTATCGTGAGGTTTTTCCCAAAACTGTTGATTTTTAATTTGGGGTTAGATCAGATTTTCTGCATGTAACGCTTGGTTTGTTTTTTATACTGAGTTTTTACAAATTACGTATGTTGTGATACAGTATGTATCACTTCCATTAAAGGACTGTTTAGGATGAAGCAGTCTGATCAGTTTGATGTTTCAGTTTGCATTTATGCTCTGATTTGTTGAGATAAGTGCTTTGTTCACACTGACACTGCACTTCAGCATTTGGGAAAATAACTAGAGGAAATTTTTTTTTCGAACTGCACCTTTAATACAGCTCGGGATGATCTTTCATGCGTTCAATATTGCAATGAGTACTTTTAAATTTTAGAGCTAAAACCATAAATAAGATCAATATCATGACCAGAAATAACCAAAATAAAGTGTACAAACCACGGTATGGGTTGGACAACAGGTGGCAGTGTTTATCTGTTGGTCAATGTTGGTTTTGTTGTTTAATGGGAGCTTTTATCCTTTTTAATGGTGGCAGAAAGTGTTTGTTTGATTATTTGAAGCCACAGGTTTTTGTTTAAGAAGGTCTGATAAGGCAGCTGATTTGAAAACTTTCAACCCAATCAGTCCCCAATTTGGAGAACATTTGAATAAACAAAACCAGTTTTTTTTTTCTGCAGAAAAAGGGAATTGTTTCTGGTTTATTATGTGGCTGTGAAATTGATGACATTCTTTCTGTGGGGGTTTCATGATGTGATGTAAAATGAGGATGGCACACGTTAAATTACTCGGGGGAAAAAATCCCAAATATAAACTCCTGTTTCTAATTTATCTTCAGCGTTTGCACAAGAGCAGGAAGTCTGACTCTGACATTCAAAACAGGTCATAGTTAACTGGAACCACCCAGAAAACATTAAAACTGCACCGGTGTTCTCAAGTCTGCGGTCACGTTTAACTTCCTGTGCAGATTTTACAATACCTGGGTCATAAAAGGTCAGAGAGCACTGCAGAGCTACAACATGTCAGGAAGTGTTTGGAAGTCTAAATATGTGATTTTATGAGAAGTATTTGTCTGTATTTATGTAAACTCTTTAYACTTCCTCAGTTAGAAATTATATTTTCCCCTAAATTATACAGTTGTTTGTAATGTTTTCAGAGGTTTTATATCCAAACTATTAATCCAAAACCCAACTTGTAAGGTGTGGAAATGTTAGATAACATTAGAGGGATCATTTTTCTGATTTTTAAATAAATGATTAGTTTTTTTTCTGTAAATGCAGCGCATTTTTCATATAAAAGCTTGACTTTTTTGAATTTTAAATATTTTGTGAAGTACAAATCTTTTATAAAATCAAAAGGTTTAAAGTAGACTGCAGTCTGCTTTTTTGCCAGCAGGTGGCGCCAGCAACAACTGCAGATCTAAACAGCAGCTGTTTGGTTTGTCTTTAAGGAAGCAAAAGACTGAATCTAAATGTCTAAAATCCTTTTATTGGTGCGAAACATTGAAAGTGAGGTTTTATTAGGTAGTTATGGGTAGTGAGTGAAGAAATCAGCTGCCTAATTGTGAGACTTTGAGTGAAATTAATGCAGAAAGTTACAATTTCATCGGACTTAAATGCATCTGATCGATCGTTTCATTCTGCTTCAGAGAAAAGAAATCGATGCTGACAAACGAGACCCGAGATGGGATGAAAATGTTTCAGGATACGGGAGCATCCTCGCGTGTGATGGTATGTCTGCTGATAAAATCATAAGCTCCTCGCTGCCACGTGCATCCTGCTGAATCACATGAAAACAAGCATAAAATACAAGAAAACACAATAAGAATTCTCCCGGAACAAAACAAACCCTAAAAAAARGGTAAAAATCGCAGTTAAACAGCATTTTACATGCACATCACATCTGAGCATCAATGCACATGTAGTCTGTTGTCAAAGCGAAGGAATGGATGATTTCTCCACATACAGGTGGGATATTTAAGGACAAAGCGACGATACCTACAAGTTATAGACACATTGCTTGTACATTCATATATGTCAACACATAAATATGTATATACAGTATACATATACATATATATATTCAAATGTATACAGATATATTAAAGGAGGAATAAATAGTGCCATTAATGAGGTGGAAAACCATTTTTATCATATTCCCACCAGAGCCTACAGCCAGAGGAGGCTTTTACTCCCTCTTTTATAAATCTGGTGTGATCCATTACCTCTCTCACATCAGGTTTAATACTAAACGTACTATTGTATTAAAGTTGTAAGCATCTAGTACTGTCGGGTTAGTCATATTAATGTGATTACATTGTATTTATATATCTGATAGGGTATTGACATATATTGCAATGCTTTAGTGTTTACAAACAAAAAAAAAGAGTTTTGTTTATGTGTGCAGAACTTCCTGTTTGGCACACATTTGGAGGTGGGGCGAGCGACATGTTGTTTGTGTGTGTGTGTGTGTGTGTGTGGATGAAACAGTGGTATCTGATACCTGCTGAACTGGCAGTGGACCACTCTCTGTTGTGATGACTGGAGGTTACTCTATTAGAAGCAAATGGCACCCTGCCCAGCAGAAACCTTTTGACACAGAAGGCCTCGTTTGATCTAATGTCTGATGGGAGTGTGGAGCTTAGTGTGGCACAGCTCAGAGCGCAACGTTCTCCTGAGCTGAAGAGCTGATGTTAACACCACACAGGCTTTATTTAAAAAACACATTTCTTTACATTCTGGCCTTTTATCTATATGATCTCCATGGAATTAAACTATATTAAAGTCTAGGAAGAAATAATGAAATCAGTTTCCTTCATMAAACAGAATTAAAGTGTTTTTCTAGGTGTTTAAAGGGGGGGTGGGGGGAGTATTATTATATGATGCTAAAACATCTCATCAAAAACACACCCAGAGTGTTGCTTTGACTCATTCATGAATGTTTAATAAATCTTTGAATCTCCTRTAGCCATGTGGAGCTGCCTAAACGCTTGCTGGTACAAAGCTCCGCCTAATTGCACCTAGCTCCGCCCAATTATAAACCCGGCTTCTCCCTGGAGCTCAGTCTGCAGCCAAGCTCTCACTACACAGATAACCCCCCACCCATCCACCCCAAAAAAACACACTGGTTTGAAGACGTGCTGAAGTGGGAGCGTCAGAAACAGTAGGAGGGTTTTAAATAAGCTAGAGGCCAATTTCAAGGCGTTTAGATAGACCATGAAACTGAGTTTRTGAGGATAAAAGTGCAAAAAAAATACATTTCAACGTTTCAAGGTGATGTATCGACTCTGGCATCTTGCTGCAGTGAATCGTTCAGGTGCGAACTACTACAGACATAAATTCACTACATGCCATGACCTTCGTGGAGGGGCGTGGCACCCCAAATGCTGCACATACAAAATTCCTATTTTAAGATATTTTGTGACTGAATAACTGAATTTTACATATTTTTATATTTTATATGTTGTGAACGGTTGTAATCATTTACAGTAAGAGTACAATAAAAGAATCAACAAATCTCTATTTGGCTTTAGTGTTTGTTTCTATAACTTACTTCCTTGTTTGCTATGACATCATATCCAGGRCGTGACCACGTTTTCTAYAAACAAGCTGACTTTTTGAAATGTATATTTTTGGCATTTTGAGCATCACAAACCAGTTGTATTTAGGTTTGTTTTATTTAAAAGGTGGAACTGCATCTCCAAAATTGGGCAACTCGCACACATCAACAAAAACTAAAGAATAAAAAAAGTGTGGTAAACTTTCTCTTTAAATACACKAAACTGTTTTTACAGTTCATCTGTTTTTACTTAGATTTTTTTTTTATTAAAATGGTTAATGGCAGTGAAGAAAATGTTACTTTAGTTGGGATAATTCATTGTATTGTGTGCTTTTTGTGTGTGAAATACACAAATTTTTATTACGCCTATCWTGTCAAGTAGCATAATTATAAACATTTTAGATGCTCCTGTTTGGTCTGCAGGATGAAACGGTAACTCTGCAACGAACACCGTGTCTCTCCTTAAAAAGAGAATATTCAGTATCTTCTCACTGTGGAGYCTAACTGAGCTCGCAATCCAACTAAAAGGAACATTTGTCACATCGGTAGCTACCTACAGCTCCAACATGATCAGCCCACGCAGCTCATTATTTTTAATTAGCTCGACCCTTACTGGTTCGTGGTGTCGGCTTGCTTCGTATCAACAATCACTTTCACTGCCAGCACTGTCAAACTAGAGGCCAAAACTGAAAGACGACACGACCGCCGAAGCCTGCTCTGGGATGGATTTGAGCGTTGTGCATTAAACATCTGCAAGAATACAGGATTAGGCATTCTGATTGAGTCGGGTCGTCTTTCGGGTTTTTTTCGTGGAATGTTTTAGGACTTTCTTCCTTCTGTTTCATAGTGTGTGTATGTGTAAGTGGAAACCCATTTCCAGTATTTMAGAGTGTATTTGGAATCGATGGAGCACTCCTGCTTGCGGAGACGGCGCTGACATTCCGGCAGTGGGAAACTATGGAATGATTGTGCTATAATCTTCTGTTTTTGTATAAATTTGTGAGGACACTTTAAAAGTTTTCACCGTATTAACTTGTGGGACTCAAAGGAATGCTTAAAGTACCTTAGCTCGGAAAATTACACAAATTGAGGGCTTGCCATACAAATATGCAGCAAAACCTGCACGTCTGTGAAGCGTAGAGTAACAGAAAGAGGGTGGGATTGTTTTGTTGTTGTGGATTTTGAGTCGACAATCGAAACGACAGTGGAAAGGATTTAAAAAAAAAAGAAAAGAAAAAGAAAATGTGAGTGTGTACAAGCTTGAGGAACAATGCATGTATGTCTCAGAATACCCCTGATATGTTGGATGGGTGCTGGTTTGGTCAGGGTGGGATTGGCCTCTCAGTGAAAGGCCTGACGTGAAGAGACCACCGGGCAGAGGGTCCTTTAATATTCATGTATATGCTGCTTCATTTCGTTTTTATTTTGCYCACTTCCCTGTTCAGCTTGCCCTCGTTTGCCAGCTTCTCGTTTAGTTGGCACAGTTGGCGCAGGAAGCCATCGTTAGGGCCAATTTCTCTCTTTTGCCTCAGGGTGGTTAGCGCCACTCGGACGTCCATTCGGTGGCGCAGCATGAGGTAAGCGGCGACCATGGTGGGGGAGCGACTGTAGCCTTCTCTGCAGTGTACGTACACCTTCCCTACAGGACACAAAACAAGATGAGACCCTTGAATGTTATTAGGCTGATTTCCCCCAATCAATCAGTCAATTAGTAAATCAATCAATCAATAAATACCTAGCTGTCTTTGTTAGGCCACATCAGGAACCAGCGTGAGTTTTATTATTTCATAAAAATGTCAAATATTGGTAGGCTGAAAGGAGTTCCCAGCCAATAATGAGACATCTAATTCACCTGGCCAATCAAGGCACTTTACAAAACAATAGCTGCGTTTCCATTGCAAATGTTCGCAAAACTTTGTCGATATTCTGTTCATGTCGAAAAACACAGTTTCGCAACTTCGGTGTTTCCATTAAGTAAGAAATGTTATTAAAGTCAGGCATGAATACGTTTTTTTCTCGCGATAAGTCATTAAAAACATGGTGGCATTGGATGTAAACACATAGCATGTTGCTACCGCGACACTAGCACTCATCTTCAGAGGAGACGTCGGCGTCTTTTATCGAAGCTTTCCAGCGACAAGTCCCTACTTGGGAGCGGCTACGTATGCTGTGTTTTTGGGAAATTGTAGTCGTGAGTTTAATATTTTATACTACTTCTGTGATATTACTACTACTTCTACTTCCTGTTGTCTTCTTCGTCATCGTCTTTTTCGCCAGCTGAAACAGCCGGTTGTTGATCACGTGACTCCCGTGATGCAAAAAAAGTGTTTCTATTGCAGTTTTGCGAAAAACACCAATGTCAATGCGGCTGAAATACCACCTCATCCTAGCGCAAAAATATTTTGTCAAAAAATGTAATTTTTTTCGAAACTGATGTGTTTCCATTGGGCAAATTTATTTTCAAAATTCTAATTTGCGCATTTTCATGGTCAATGGAAACGCAGCTAGTGTGCACCCTCATTTATCCGACCACACACACATTCATACTAGTGTCCTGATACCAGCATTTTTAAAAGTGCTCATACTCGTTCAAAATGCCACGATACTTGGAACCGATAGCATTTTTCTGTGTGGACGTTCACTGCGACCTCCATTAGACTCCAGTGTGAATTCTTTATGCCTTCGATGCGACACGCAAGCACAGAAGAAGACGTGACGTCACATTCAGCTCGCTGCTAACAGAAGTAAATGCGAATGCTAAGTGTTAGCATGTTGATTCTAAARTTGTTGCGCAATCAGAGCTAATTAAATAATTATCCGGCAGGCTTGTTTAGTTCAGCATTTACAAATTTAATATCGATATGGTCCGAGACAGACGTTACTATCATACATTCTGCGGGTTCTCAGTCATCCAGGACACGGAAAATTAAAAAAAAGACTTGACTTGTGTTCTGTAGAGGAAGACATGAGGAGTTACAATATTTAAACAGCATGACTCAATGTCAGTATCATTATTACTTGGATTGATCCATGTACCCCCACCTCACTGATGTAAATATCAAATGAAATGCGACATGACCGTTCAGACTGAGGTGTTTTTATAATCTATGAGGAATGTTTAAGTTCTAACACAGTAAGTACTCGGTATCGGCGAGTACCCTAATTGAAGTGCTTGTACTCATTCTGGGCTTGAGATAAACTGGTATGGGGTCTCCCTTAATTCATACTACACTTTATTATGTCTCTATAAAGCTAWTGTGAATAAATGATCTAATTAGTGATTTAGATCACATTCATTCACTGATGAGGCAAACACTGAAGGCGATGTGGAGTTCAGTGCCTTGCCCAGAAACACATCGAATACTGGTGAAATCGAACCTTCGACTCTCTTGTTGGATCCACAGCCACTCCCAAGCGTACARCACCTACTATTCCCATGCGGTCCCCACAAACTCCCAAAACAGTTTCAAACTCACTGATACTGTATGGCTCATCTCCAACTTAAACACTAAATCCAACTTTTTGACCTGGTTTTTGGTCAAACTAACCCAACTTATGACCCAACAGCTTAAGCACAGCAATTAGGTTACCAAAAAATAAAAACTGGAATAACAAAAACCTGATCACCCAATTTAAASCCCATCTAAAAGTTTTAAAATTAAAGTAAAACAATTAAAGCCTCCTTTATGTTTTCTTTTCTCTTGTGCAGAAGAACAAAAGCAGCAAGACTGTGGGGGTTGAAAAAAAGAGCAGAATGAGGAAAGGAACTGAAAAAGAAAACAAAAAAAAAAAAAAAACGTGGAACATATGCTGTAACTAAAGCTGCTGAGTGCAGCAGCTTCTCTGCCAGGAGATGCAAATATAAGACCTGACCTCTGCTGCAGACTCAGCAAAGTCAATCATCTTCACTGCTACAGTGAAGCAAGGCTCAGATAGAGAGAAGAGTTGTCTGTGTGTCTACAGGATACACATTATGTTCGCTGTGTGTGTATTTTACTCTGTTGTTACAGAGCAGCTGAAAAGCCCAGGAGGAATTTCTCAGAGCAGGTGATAAACTGGGATCAGGTCAGATCTGCAGATTCCACTTTTTTCTCTAAAGCCCAGCCACTCTCCGAGTCCTCCTCCTATTTATACCATTTTCTCTCCTCTTCTGTATTGATTGGAATCTACTCCTGCCAAAGACGTGACCTCCTCAAAGCCTAATCCTCCCGCCTGTCACGGATCAATGCTGAATCCAGTGTATCATCTTGTTAGACATGCCGGGTCTCTGGCGCAAAACTTCACTCATTTTCTCACCGCTTCAGTTTTAGAGTTCTCTGTTTTTAAGCTCATTACTGTCGTTTGTTCTTTATTGCATTTTTCATGAACCAAGTTAAAGTTCAGTCTGATATTGTTTAAAAATTGGAATTCAAATTAAACTGCTGATTAGTTGATCTTTTAGCCTGTAAGCAAAAGCGCTTCCGCTCTGCCTTCTTGTGTTAGACAGAACACATCGGTGCAGCTCCTCATTAAAAACCCTGGCCGTGACCTTTTCTGAGCTCAAAGCTGAGAGTCACAAAATGCCACCGCTAACGTTGCACAGACTTCCTCGTTTTACTGCAGCAGCAACATCACACACAAAGCAGGGGTTCGGCCATCTTTCATCCTCTCCTCTCCACAGCTCCACTTCGTTGGAGCCATTTCCTCATAATTTACCAACATGCTGGTGCAGGTTTGGCCAAACTTCAGGGTAATTAAGATGCCTTCCTCTGTCAAAACTGGCACTAAATCCAGGAAATAAAATACAGCGAACATCCTTCAGACACCAGGACTATATTTTCTTGGAGCTTTCAAAAAGCTTCATGTTTCTTTCGTTCCGCCTTCCTGAACTCTGTCACAGAAGCTCATCTGCCCGAGAAGCCAGACCAAATTTAAAGCTCAGCTCCCTGATGGTTTCTGTTATTTTAGATTTTGTAAAACAGTCTTTAAACAGTACAGAACTTGTTTGACTTAGTGTTTCTCCTATCATTGTACAAGGAGAAATTTATTTATTTTAAACGTATTAGTTATTTAAAGGGATTTCCGTTTAGTTGTAACGTTAGACTTTATTTGATAAACATAAATTTTAACTGTAAAATAAAAACTGTAAAAATACTGTTGGCTRTTTAGTTTTTATAATTTTTAAACTAAAAGTTTAAAATATATTACATGGACGGGGCCATTTTATTTACACGCAAAGCATTCTGGGTAAATGATGATGTGGATCGGTCATCGGTACGAGGCTGCTAGCGAGCTATATCCACCCTGAAGGTTAATCTTGGACAATATCTGATGATCGACTCTTTTAAATGAAACCAGAGAGCGTTGACAGAGAGGAGAAGGTAGAAATGACTCAGCCTGGAACTGAAAATATGGATGGAGGACAACAGAGCTGCTTCATGGAAGAAGAATCTCAGCTTAGCCTGTTAGCTTTAGCATTAGCCCCAACGCTATCACAATATATACTGTATGTATTAGCTCAGAGCTACACATTCTCCTCTCGTCACTGTGGTCCTCCATCCACATGTCGCGGTAGCGCTGAGCTAATACATAAGGTAACATAGCATCAGCGCTAGCACAAAGGCTAACAGGCTAAGCTGAGGTTCCTCTTCCATGAAGCAGCTCTGTTGTCCTCCATCCATATTTTCAGTTCCAGGCTGAGTCATTTCTACCTTCTCCTCTCTGTCAACRCTCTCTGGTTTCATTTAAAAGAGTCGATCATCAGATATTGTCCAAGATTAACCTTCAGGGTGGATATAGCTCGCTAGCAGCCTCTCACCGAGGACCTATCCACGTCATCATTTACCCAGAATGCTTTGCGTGTAAATAAAATGGCTCCATCCGTGTTAAAATATATTTTTAAAACTTTATAAATCTAAACATCCTACAGTATTTTTACAGTCTTTATTTTACAGTTAAAATAAATGTTTATCAAATAAAGTCTAATGTTACAACTAATCGGGGATCCCTTTATGAGAGCTGGAAAGGTTTTCTTCAATATGGAAAACTTGAAAACTTAATTTAACAGATAACCCAAAAACAGCTAGCCAAAAAAAGCTCACCTTTGCCGTTATTGTGCGCTAGTCCTCTGTCGATAAAATCAGCTCCCTCCTCGAAGAAGGCACTGAGGTTGAACTTCTGCGTGTCGTTGGCAGAGATGCCGTGGTACGCGATGCCCGTGCCGGCGTAGAACTCCGGAGGGGTGTTGACGTGCATGAAGGAGGTGCCTTCCGCCACGTTGAGGACGTGCGTCACTCCAAGTTTCTGCAGCCGCATCGTGTTGTGGGCGACAAACCTGAGAGGTCAAAAACAACAATTAGAGCTAAAAAAACAGATCTACGATTAATCACGTAGCAGGTTGTTGATGACCGTGACGAGGCTTCAACATTTCGAATAAGCTGATTCATTACRGTGACATTGTAGGCTCAATGTTTTGTAGATTTTTTACAGCATTATTTCAAACGGAACTTATTGCAGCTGACAGGGCTGAAACCCTGCAGAGCRTCGGTGCATGCTGGGGATTCTGAAATGAGATGTTTAACGAGTTGATTTCATACTTCCTCGTATAAAAACAAATAAAAATACCATCTGTGTCGTTTAACAATGGAGCAAGAATTAAAAGAGCACAATAAAAAAAAAGAGTCAAATGAAAAACATCCACCAGCAGCTTCGGCTCCATCGACATCCTCTCCACTTCCAGAGCACAATCAATCCATTCCTGCTTTGCTCCGACTCTAATAAACATTGTCTTTCAACACAGCAATACAGCAAACAATTACAACAAAGCAATCCAGGATCTTTCCTGCTCGGGTCTGTTTGGCCCCGATCCTGAATMCTCGTTACCGTCTGGCCTGGCTGAAGGCCCTGCCAATTGATTGGGAATAAAACGTCTCCTTGTGCGTTAATGCTGCAACYTGTACTGAGGTTTTATGGAGCACTTAGCATCGCTAATTGGAYGTAACTTAGGTTTGAACAACAGCAGCACCGTAGTTAACAGAGGAGAAATGTCAGTATTTTAAAATCATTTTTTAAAACACAGAGGTAGATGTACATCCAGTGATTACTTTCTGTGGGTAGAAGTGGGAAAAAAAAACATATTGCTCTAATTTCAGAATAAGAATCGCCTTTATTGTCATTATAATTTGCATTACAATGGAATTGGATTTGCTGCTCCAAGTCGCATTCTTTTTTTAGACAAGATAAAGTAAGCTTTAAGAAAAATAGGCAATACAATAAAATAGACAAGTTAAACCTATTAAATCTAATAAAGACAGAATGTGCACTATCCAAAAAAATAAATAAATAAATCAAAGTATTTCTGTATATAAAAATGAATAGGGAAACTTTACATTATATGCTTCTTAATTGTTTGGAATATTGCACATGAGAGATGTTCCAAAAATATTACACTTGAGATATGTTGCACACATTTGGTATTTGGTTATCGCATTTTCACTCTAATTATCACTAATTTTCACATTATCACTCTAAATTTAAGTTTTTATTTTGTTTTTTTCTTTTCCTAATTATTATTGCTTAAATTTAATTGTAGAAAAAAGGGGCAGATATTATGATTTTTTTCTTCTTTCTGCCTCATTCATTTCAGTTTGATTTGTAAATA